CCTGTGCACTTTGTAAAATCTTCTGGGCCCTTTTGGCTTTCCTTGCACTGCTTGCCAAGTCCATTGCTTCTCCAACAAAAGAAGTGTTGTTGAGCCAAAAGCGTTCATTGTATTTTAGCATCATGATCGCCTCAAAAAGCTGTGGAGACATTTTAGCCCGGCCTGGGTCCAAAAGGTTCCCTGCAATGGACCATTGTCGCTCTACCTCTGCTGCGGAACCAAGAACAAAGTTAGCATTGACATATTCATCAGCTTGATTTCCTGCTGTTGATATCTGAATGTGAGATCTTTTGCGCCCTGCTGCAGCGGAGGAGGAGCGTTCCAGCTCTTTTAGCCGTTTCAGCTGAGATAGAAAATCTTCTTCCTTGTCGTCAGCATCAGCACCTGCTGCAGCAGGAGCTGTCTTCATCTTCTTACAGGCTGACTTTTCGGCTTCTGTCATCTCGGTAACATGGCCACGTTGGATCTTGATTACCCCAGAAATGAAGTGTTTGGATTCTGTGGGAATTTTCATGGAATGGGGACCAATGTAGTCCTCCCCAAATTGGTTTCCGTACCATTCACTCTGTGGCTCCTCTCTCAGTGAATTTGCTTGGTTAATGAGACTATCCAAATACCTGCGGCTCCAGTTTAAAGGCTGCTTACTGGTCTGCAACAGCTTAGTCACTTCGTTGATGTTGAAGAGCATTTTTCGGATATTTCTTGCTTTGGCCTCAAAGTCCTCTGATTGGTCCATGGGGAAATCCGTGTCTTTATTGGTAAGAGCAAGGATCATTGGGTTTCTCATCCTCAGAAAATTATCCATCATTGTGAAAACGCCAGTCCAACGAGTCTGATTGCGGAGCTGTGGTTTGTAGTGAGTGTCTTTTCGAAGAACACCCATGTTCTTGTTACTTCCCTTGAGTTTAGTCATTGATTCGTGGACCTTGTTGACCGCATCTCCAAGGAGTTTGAAGACTGGGTGGTGGCTCAAACCGCTGATTCGGCTTCAACTAACAAAAAAACTGCAAGAGATTTGAAAGTCCCTCATATCCCTTGCAACAATCATTTGTTGAACCATCAGGTGGAAGAAATGCTCAAAGCAACCACCACCACAGAGGGAAATGGTGGGGATGGCAATGGTCTTGTCTTGTTTGGGGTCTAGGTTGTAGAGCGAACAAGCAACATGGCGCATGACACGGGTGATTTCTGCGTCATGAAGGAAGAGGACGCGGGCGCCATCTTGGTATACCGCAAGGGGGACATTGGTTGTGGTGATGCCGATCAATCGGTCAAACCGGGAAAGGATGGAATGCATCCGACGGATGTAGCAACGGAGTGGGGACTTTTCACTGCGAATAAAAAGTTTTTCTTCCCCATGGTTACCGTTCTTCTGATGGGAGAAACGCGTTTTTATGCGCCAAACAAGGTCTGGATTCTGAAGGAAATCGGAAATGGATACTTTGCGTTTAAACTTGTCGAAACAGGTAACATCTTTGACACAAAATGCAATGGAAATGCCGTCAAAGGTTGCTTGGTCGCCAATATTTTTGTTGGCGGAAGTTTGGGCATACTCGGACAGGCGGTGGCCATCGAGGAGGCCGATACTGTTCCAGTCTTCACATGTTTTCCAGAGACCGTCTCGGTGGGCTTTGGTGTCGATATTGCGGTGCTCGAGGTGTTGTTGCATGTCGAGGGTGTAGGGCTCAAGTTTATTGGGAACGTTTTCATGGCGCTCCACTTCAGCAATGGTGGCATGAATATCGGGTGACATTTTGGTGTCGCTCGGGTTGTTGTATCGGGGATCACGACCGGTGAAAAGGCAGATAAAAGATGCTGCCGCATGGAGGTACTGCTTGATTGTGGCAGACTTGATGTATTGGCCTTTAATTGTGCGACCGGTAGCAAGTGCCACTGTGTAGAGTGCAAAGGTTGCGACGCGGCGTTCGTGAGGGAAGTCAGGGCCATTCATTAAATAGTCGTCGCGCAGGTTCATATCATAGCAAAACTTGAGGAAATGGAGTCGGCGGGAACGAAGTGTCCCAGATTTGCGGGGATCGTCGGTGGCGCCTGCTTTGGATTGGAGAATAGACAGGAGCGCAGGACGGAGCAAAGTTCGGGACTCGGCTGGAAATAATCGTAGTTTCTCATCCAAGGTAAAGTGCGAAATGTCTGCGAAAGTAATTGATGGTGAGAGAGTTTCAGGTTTGGGCGGGAAATAAAATCAGCAGCAAAGTTGTTATCACCAGGGATATGATCAGAAAGAGCAGTCAGAGGGGAGCGTTTGAGGAGCTGACCATGCAAGTCGACCAAAAGGCGTGCAAAAGGGCTGTTTGTGCGGGCGTCATTCATCCATTTCTCAGTGGGTGTGTTGTCAGTGCGGTTGAGCAGAACTGGGAATTGGGAAAATCCGTTGGGGAATTTGTGGGCCAGGCCTGGATGGGCATGGGAAGTTCCTTCAAGGCGGACAACCGTGGCAATTTCCTGGAGAAAGGCTACCAAGAACTCAAGGCTGTTGATGTGGACGTAGTTGGGGTTGCTGGCTTTCAGTTTTGTACCAGCAACAATAGCGGGGCTCCAAACAATGCGGAACCAAAAGAGAAGTTCGTCAGAATAGGCACCTCCTCCAAGGAAGCTAGCATCTCCGTACGACGTGAAATGGGGATCTCTAGGGATCATTTGAGGAATGTAGATTTCCCATGTCTCTGTTTTGAGGTGTGCTGGATGGCTCGGAGTTCGCGGAGCACAGGTGCGTCAAGGCGGAATCGTTTGTTGGCGTTCCATAGGAAAGTAGCTGCTTCCTTTCCGATAAGGGAAGCAAGGCGGTAGCGGAGGGATGGAGGGAGTTGGTCGGAGATGATTTGGACTTTGTCGTTGCGTTTCATGTAGTGTTTGATGGATTGGTGGCGGGATCGGAGAAATTGACTCAGGACACGTTGCAAGTTGAAGTAGGAACAACGCATCCATCGACAGACGGTGGTTGCAGTTGAAACGTGCCCTAGAAGAATCGCGATATCGCGAAGGGACAGTGACGGATTCGCCAGTGTTTCTAAAAGGAGTTTGAGGAGGCGGTCCCGTTTGATGGAAGGTAAACGTACTGTCATTCTTCTCAAGTTGATGAGCCATCCAACTGTTTTGCGTTTGTGGGAAAAAGTGTTGGCAAATTTTTCCCAAGATATGCAATCACGGATCCCGTTGGATGGGTTGGGGAATCCCAATAGGATGTATAGGGCAAGGATGCTGGCTGAAATGGTTTGGCGTAAGAATAGGGCCACGTCGGCGTATAGGCAATTGTCAACATGGTGATCAAAGGTCGGGGACTTGCGGGATCCGTCTGCCTTTAAAACCCCTTGATTCTTAGAGTCGGGCTCAGCAGGAGTGAAAGCGGCAATGTCTGATGGCGTTGGAAGGGGAGCAAGGGATAGCTTGGGGAGGTATTTTGCGACTCGTGGGATGGTGGTTACTGCAGCATACCAAAGGGATTGGGCAAGCTGCTGGCGGACCATGGCGACGACTTCCCATTGGGCTGGGCTGGTGTTGTCGCCAAATGAGAGACCCGTACAGAAGAAAAGGAAACCAAATAGCATGAACATGTGCATGCCAACAACATTTGGGTTCCATTTGACATGGCGGAAGGCGCCAGAGACATCATCGTCGCAAATGTAGATTTCTTCTTGTGGGTAGGTGATGCGAAGGTTGTAGATCCAGATCAAGAAGTTGGGAAATGACCTCGGGAAGCAGATTTCCGGTTCAGTTTCTTTAGAAGTGAAATCGTTAACTGCCATGGCTGTCAGGGAAGGATGGTGGGTGGCATCAAAGATGATACGGGGTTTGCGATATTCGTGACATGCATCAACCAACCCGAGGGGAGTAGTGTGGGCGTCTCGGATGTATGGAAGTAGGGCTGGGTTGGCTGCCAGAAGGTAGTTGCGGAGGATGTCTTTTTCGACTGCGCTTTGTGTTTTGCTCATGTCGTCGTAAACCGTCTTGTGATTACCGTAGGCAATGAAGGTGCGCAGGTTCTCATCGGTTGATTCCGCATTGACGTAATTGGGGGCGCCATCGAGGAAGATGCGTTTGAGCTGGGTGATGAGGAAGGGGTCAACATTGGCTTCACGGAGAATGGGTTCGAGGGTGGGCCAGTCGCGATGGGCACCAGTGTGGATGTTGCCAACAAAGCGGACTGCGGTTGGGATGCTGAGGTCGTAGTGGAGTAAGCATGCGGTGAACATGCGGCTCCATCGATGCATGGCAACGCTGGGGGTCAGCTTTGGTGGTATGGGTTGTTGGAGGGGTCGGAAGTCCACAAAGCGGTGTTCTTGGATGAGAAGGGAGAGGAGATGGATGGATGGGCACACGTGGAAGAGGGTTGCAAGGTCGGTCTGGCTCAGGTAGCGGCTCTTCAGCAAAAATATCCAGGTATGTTCAAACTTATGCTCTGTACTGAATCACCTGTCCACGCTGTCCTTACCATGCGGAGAATTGACGGCAAGAAAAACCGGGGATGGGAGTTTGGTGGCTGCCCAGGTCTCGCGGTCGCGTTTGGTCATGGATGGGGTAGACGAACGACCTTGGACGGAGACTTCAAGGATCTCTCCAAATTTTTCTTGCTCTGCGTCAGTGAATTGGTAGTACTGGGAATCGGGAGGCAGGGCGGACCGGTGGTGTGCTGAGGGCGGTGCCAAAGGTTGGCTTGGTGGAGGGGTGGTGGTTGAAATGCGGGGCAGGTTGGGTTGGTGCGACATTGGTGGCTGGGTCGGTTGGTAAACGAGGCTGCTTGGGTGAGGGATGATGCATGTAGAGCACTCAGGGACTTGGAGTGGGTGTGGGAGGAATGCACAGAAAGGAAGTGGAAAGTAAGTCACTGACGGGTTGAATGGTATTTAAGTAATGGAGTTGGTGGAACTAACCATGAGGCTTTGGGGCCAAACGGGTCACCCCAGGGGTTTTTTCAATGAATTTTTCAAATGCCTGGGTGTCGGCAGATCCCATAGTTGCTGCAAACTGTTTGGTGTAGTGGATATTGTGGCAGCGGGGGCGGTTGCAATGGTAGTTGGCAAATAGGAAATGGGAACAGAAGGCTGCCTGTTTGCCGTGGGGCTAAGCCACCTGACACCGGGTGTCGGTTCAAATATCAGGAATTTGAGGGGTGCCACCGGTGGGCGAGTTAAAACAGCGGATGGGCGCTGACGCAACGGTGCGGTTTGATAGGTCTCCCGAAGGAGCAGTTTTACGTCAAATGCGATGCTCTCGGGTACGCGAGAGGAAATTGGGGTGCCACAGGTTGATTGGGCTTGAATCGGATGTGAGGATGCAACCTGGGCAGATTGGGATGGACGACTCCGGGAGTCTAGTAATGAGTAGATGAAAGAAAAAAAGATATAATCGTTCTGAACTGTTTCAGATGATCGTGGTTTCTTAGCTCTTCATCGTCTCATCTTGCACTTGGCAAAAAGAATGCTTCTGTTCACGCCTTCGTTTGCCATGCCGATCGTCCCCGAATTTTTCGTCCAATGAGTTACCATTACTTCGCTTAAGCGACTGACAACATGACTGTTGGCGTGAAGACAGGAGTCTTCTCTTGCCAGTCCGTCTACCGTCTTGCCTGATCACAATCTCATCAACATGGTCTTTTCCTACCGGTACGCTTCCCATGGTACCGATACGGCAAAGTAACTGCCGGACTATCATTCTTCGTTTCTGTTCTCAGAAGCAGCACAGTGTAGTATAATAAGTGTTGAACTACAATACCGGTATGGAGTACTGTAACATGTTCATTCAATATTCATGCATTCGTTTGAACAAAATCAATCGAATGAGTCAATCATATTGATTTTCGCGCGATGAATACGCATGTGAGAGGAAGGTTTCCGAAAGTCAAAGATTGTGAGTACATCGGACTCCCGTTTCACCTCATCCCAAGACAGAAACGATCAACAGTCGACAGGCCCTTAGTAAAATCCTCCCGAAAAGCCAAAGCTGCAAAATCTCTATAGCAACAAATTAGCGAGAAGACAAGAAACATGTTTCGAAATCAATACGATACCGATGTCACTGTATGGAGTCCCGAAGGGCGGCTGCTTCAGGTGAGTTCGGTTTCCTTTCTTGGCTCGATGCTCCTTTCTTTGCTTACACGCTTACACGCTGATCTTTTTTTTTAAATATCAGGTAGAATATGCAATGGAGTCAGTCAAGCAGGGGTCCGCCTGTGTCGGTCTCCGCAGCAACGACTATTGCGTTCTTGGAGCCCTGAAGCGTAGTGTGAGCGAACTCTCATCTCACCAAAAGAAATTGTTGGAAATTGACGATCATATGGCCATGGGAATTGCTGGTCTTACAGCAGATGCTCGTTCCCTTGCCAAGTACATGCGCAACGAATGCTTGAACCACAAATACGTTTATGGGGATAACATTCCACCTGCTGTTTTGATGAGCGATTTGGCGGACAAGCACCAACGTACCACTCAAACGTATGTAAGACGTCCTTTCGGAGTTGGTCTGTTGGTGGCGGGAGTCGATCCCCAACGAAACTCTTGCCACTTGTATCAAACCTGTCCCAGTGGCAATCTCTACGAATTTTATGCATCGGCAATTGGCGCCAGGAGCCAATCTGCGAGAACCTACTTGGAAAAGCATTACGAATCTTTCCCAGCAAGTTCCAAGGACGAATTGATCGTTCATGCTCTGCAAGCTCTGGCTGGGTGTGTCAGTGGCGATGATGAGCTGACAAAAGAAAATGGAAGCATTGCAGTCGTTGGAAAGAACCAAAATTATATTCTTATTGAGGTGGAGGAACTGCAGCCATACTTGGATAAATTGGAAATCAAGAGAAATGATGACGACGATGCCGAGGAAGAGGAAAGCGAAGACGCTGAGGCAATGGAAACTTAGATGACTGTATAGCTGAATTCATTATATCAAATTGTTTGCCTCACCCATCATGATTTGGGTTCATTTACGATTTCAAACGAGCTCCGATCGTCTAATTTCATTGAATTGATGGTGAGCGAACGTGCCTTCTGCAGGCCCTTGTTCTGCGCAGGTACAACACTACACGCTCTTCAGCCGTACTGTAGTGCTCCTTCCTTTCCGTTGGCAGTTGGGCTATTGCTCTAATGATGTCTCCTGCAGAATAGGCGTGTCGGTCCAAGAGTCTAGCCTTAAATGCAAGCGCCCAAACCCATCAGGCCACAACCAATTGATCCAGATTGATTCATCAGCGGTGTAATGTAATCGAGGTTGGAAAAAGTTTTGGCTCAAGTTCCGATGTTTACACCGTTAGACATACTTTACAAATGCTGAGCTGTTCACCGCCGGATACTATTTTTCTTCACAACATGTTCTCCAGCTGTCTGACAATTCGCCAAGTATTGACGTCATCATGCTGGGAGAAGGACAAAGGTTGACGGATCGCGCCTGTCGCCGATCCGCAAATGCAACAGATTGCTCGGTTCGGAACGAGTTTTCAGACATGTAAAGATACGAATACTTTTTTCCACTGTTGATCGCAAGGGAACCAAAGAAATCTGGAATGGCATAACCCTCCAAAGATTGAACACGTGAGCAAAACATGCACGCTTCATTTCAAGAACTCAATTGCGATAATTACCTTGGGAAAAAGTTCGACTAGGTGAGAACAGCGTGCATTCTTAAAGGCCACACCAGTGAGCTGAGCGCCATGTGAAGCAACCAGAATATCAATCGATCGGAAGAATGACACTTGCTCAACAAAGTCTAAGCCTTCGAAGTATTGGACCGACACCGAGTTGTTGTGGGAAAAGTCCTGGATGACTGGTTTCCTGGCCAGGAGGTCCGCATTGATGATTGACCTTCCTGCTTATATCCGTCGATTCAGAATACCAATGCGAGGCTTCTTCCTCAAGCAAGTGCGATCACTATTATTTTGGAGTTGAAACTCGTTTGCAGCAAGATGATTCAATTGCGTTGCTTGGTTGAGTATGTAACCACCAGATATTTCGATTAGCTGAGACTTCATTTGTCCCCCTTCGTCACGTTTGCAACGTAGAGCATTTGACTCGTTGACATCTGAACATTGTTTTGGCAACAACAGAATGACAAAATCTCGTTCAAAAACTTCGCGGATATACAGGCCAAATAGACGCAAGGGTAGATCTTTCGTAGAATCATAGATCGTTTACTTGAGTTGGTGGGGTCTCGTTGGTTCGTCAAGGTCTCTTTCCCGTCGGCATCATTGAAAGCAATTTGGAAAGGTCTTGAATCACGACAGTGAGAGGGAAATGAAAGTCGATTGATTGCAGAAGCGCAACCACATTCATTCGATCCGTCTCATCACTGCGCATAGAGCGATAATAGAGTTGTGTAAGAAACTTGTATGGAGGAGATGCAACGCCCATCCAAAACTTACCTTCATTTTCATTGCAATTTTGATGAAACAGTGAGTGAATGAATGATTGATGAATTCAAATCTAACGGATAGAAGGCCGGCGAGCGGGTACGCCGGCGTGAGGTTTTGAATCTCGGCGGGAAAATTGAGATTGACTGGGAAAGGCCAGACGGTTCGGGTGACTCCTAAACAACCTATCATTTGATGGTCGCAGGGTCATTAAGAAACTTCGAATTCCAAATCATATCAATAGACGGAATCCTGAAGTTGGGAGTTATAACTCATTGCGAGGGAATCCTTGAGTTATAACTCACACTTTTGAGTTATAACTCAAACGTGTGAGTTATAACTCAAACGTGTGAGTTTTTACTCAGACGTGTGAGATTTTACTCAAACGTGCGAGATTTTACTCACCGAGCCGAGCTTCCCCCTTTCCAAAACCGTTGCTGGAAATTCGAGCTGGCGGACCAACGACTACTTTCACCAAAAGATACAGTCCTGTACTTTTCCAGATCCAAACCCTATAAAAGAACTTGTCACGCAACATCATTGGGACAAAAACGAGTTCTACGGCGAGGCAGGAGGTGAAAGGAGAGAGACTTTCAGCCGCTTCCTCACCGACAAGGTCAGAAGAAAGGGTTTTGGTTGGAAAGAATACGTTGATTTGCTGGATGAACGGGGAGTTGACATGTCAGCAAACACGGAGACGCAGCTGGCAACGGAACTTCAAGCCAAGGGAGGGCCAAACGATGCCGTGGTGAACGACGCTCGTGCTGTTGCGTTTGTTGCTGTGCTTGATTCTGCTAATGAAAAAAAACTACACTCAACATGTTATTTCTACTAAAAATTCTGACATCGCCATGGACGACCTTGCGCAATGCTCACAACAAGGCAAGAGACAAATCGTTACAGGAAGATTTGATTTTGGCTGATGACCTGGCCAAGCACCCAACAACCACCCATAACGCACGTGGCGAGCTCAAGTTTTATTTGACCAGGGCAAAACAGAAAAAAATCATGTTGGCCTCACAGCATCGGAGTTTCAAGAAACTAGGGTTGAATACCACCCATTCAAAAAACGAAAATTCAGAGAGCGGATTCAACAAGAAATTAGATTTCAAAAGTACCGCAACTGTCTGGAGGATAAAAGAATGAAGAAGCTGGCAAAGTTGAAGAAGGAAGAAAAGAAAGAGAAAAAGGAAGAAAGCTGTTGGAGGCCAATTTCTGGCTGTATAGCTCTCCTACTGAGAGGGCTATAATACACAGACAGGCCTATGCCTCTAGTCTAAAAAAGATAAAAGGACTTTTATTTGAATGTTAATTCCAGTATCTAT